GATAAATCTATCATCAGTTGCTACGTTCTGTAAGTGATTTATTAATTTCTACCCCATCTCGTTCATATTGCCTGCACTATATATATGTCCTAACTATATTGTTGTGTCCGCTATTATACATGCAGAATGAAGATTAAGGAATGCAGAGTAAGGAACATCCATGATGTTGGGTTCATTGACCCACACATCGTTAATGGACATGTGTTGGAGCGTTACCCCGCCGATGTGGAGGCAGACCTGTGGCAGTTTCTTACAAAGCAGGAACTCGAAAGTGATATTCTATTTCCTTACCATTTTGAGTGAGTGTTTCTGTCTTGAGCACATTCTCTTTTGTTTACTCCATGTATGGTATGTGGCCGGCTAATCGATGAGTTATGCATGACGTACTGTGCATGTATCGTGTCCGCAGGTTCCACTGGATTCTGCTAGTAATTAAAGTTAACACCTTAGAATGTCTCGTCCACGACTCTGTGAATATGGATCCAAAGCTTTGGGGCGGCATGAGAAGAATGCTGCAGAAGTAATTATTTTCATTCATTTGCGCTCTATATCGATCGGCCTATTTCGTTCATTTCCTAATATCAAGTAACTAATTAATAACTCTCTTGTTCATTTAATTTTCTTTGCCTCGTAGGATTTGGAGACGGTTCGTAGATACAAAGGTCAGTGAATTCAAAAAAGAGCTAGAATTCAAAATGTTAAAGGCTAAGAATGCTGGGGATATTCAGCCACCGGAGACCAATCTATGTGGATACTATGTCTGTGAGATGATCCGGAGATACACCTCTGAGCGGGTTCCGAGTGATACCAATGCTCAGAGGAATAACCTCCGGTGGATGCTTAGTCCAGAAGCTCGCTTCCGACCACTTCAAGAGGAACTAGCTGGATGGTTCAGCAGGGAAGTCCTCCATCCTAAAGGAGAACACTATTACAAGGACGTAGAACTTTATATGCATTAAATCATGTATGGAAACTTGTTCAAAATTGTATATGGTCATCCGATGATATTGAATATATATTGTATATTCCTCTTAAATTCTTTTTGGTTCTAATTTCAAATTTATTTGAAATTGTACATTCATATGCATGTATGTAGTACCGTAGAATATATGAAACTCCTTCAAAATTAAAATAAAGCACAAAAGAAATAAAACAATACAAATTAAACAGAAAACAGGTTTAAGGGGGGGGGGCTAAAACCCTAAACCTGCGGCGGCCTTTAGTCGCGGTTGGCCAGAAGAACCGCGACTAAAGGTCCTCCGCCCCGACGGCCACCTGGCGCCCACGTGGACGGGCCTTTAGTCGCGGTTCTTAAGCAACCGCGACTAAGGGGGGGGGGCCTTTAGTCGCGCCCGTTCGGTCGCGGTTGCGCAACCGCGACTAATGGCAGTTGCGAACCGCGACCAAATGCCCTTTTTCCACCAGTGCGGCTCCGCTGCGTGAGTGTGTGGCATAAGTGTTAGGTTCTTATATATATGTACTGATTTGGTTTATGAGAAAATGACGAGGGCGTGAGGGCTGAAGGAAACCATGTAGCGCATGTGATTGTCACCGAGAGCAAAGGCAAAGCTATTTTTCTCCCTGGTGAATGTATGTGTGTGTGTGTGTGTGTGTGTGTTTTCTGCCCCGGTGTGTCCTTGTGTTCTTGAGTGAAAGAAAGAAATAAGAGAGAGTTGCTGCAGATCTTGTGAGGCAACCAAGAGGAAGAAGAGCGGCACTGCGAGGAGGCAGCGCCAACAGAGGTGCTGTAGATCTGCACGTTGAAGCACAGGATCAATAGGCGATAGCCTCAGGACAAGTAGCTCGCCGGGGAAGATCTTGTGCTTCTTGCAGAAGTAGTCTCAGCCGCAAACTCCTTTTTACCGGAGGCGGGATGTACCGGAGCCGCATCGGCCGTTGGTGTTGTTTGCGATTCGTGTCGCTCGGCGGCCCACATGTTTGTATATCAGTGTATTCCATCTTCTGGGCTGCTGTATTCACCATTACGTCAAATCAATGTCAGATCGATGGGACAGATGTCAGGTGAGAGAGAGAGTCTATATCCTGACGTTGCATGTGGTGCCGTGGTACAAATCCTTTCCTTTTATTTTCTCTTTAGGATTTTCAATCATTTCTATCTTTTAAACCATACTGTTATTTTTGAAATATTTTATATATTTGAATTCCTGAAGCCAAGAGCTTTAGCACAGGACCAAATTTGGATGCATTTCAAACATGTTTTAATTTCAACATTTCAAATGACTGAAATTAGGTTTCTGAAACAAGCGAAATGTTTTTTTTATATAATTTCAATTAGTTTTTTTTCATTGAGTGAAATCAATTTTGAAATATGTTTTCTCAACTGAGTGAAGTATGTTTTCTCAACCGTGTGAAATTATTTTCTTTAGATGAGTGAAATTTGTTTTCCATACACGTGACACATATTTCGGTGTGAAATACGTTAAATATAGTGAAATGAGATTTCTAAAATGAGTGAAATCTAACTTTTGTAAACGGGTGTAATATGTTTCCGAATCTAGTGAAATGTGAAACTGACTGAAAGATTTTTTGAAACGAGTAAAATAGGTTTTTGAAATAATTGAAATTAGTTATTTTCATTGAGTGAAATCAATTTTGAAATATGTTTTCTCAACCGTGTGAAATTATTTTCTTTAGATGAGTGAAATTTGTTTTTTATACACATGACACATATTTCGGTGTGAAATACGTTAAATATAGTGAAATGTGATTCGGAAAAAATATAGTGAGAAGGATGAGTGAAATCTATCTTTGAAACAAGTGAAATTGTTATTTCAATTTAGTGACTATAATGACTTTTTCTGAATCTAGTGAAATGAGTGAAATATATCTTTTGTAATTAGTGTAATCAGATTTAACAAGTGAAATATAGTATTTTAATTGAGTGAGTGTAATGCGTTTTCTGAAATGAGTGAAATGTGAGCAATAAGATACTTGAAAAAATTGAAACATATCCATTGTTCTGTGATACTGTCTATTTCAATGTGTGAAACTATCTATTTCAATGTTTTGAAACTAGTGGAATGGGTGAAATCCATATTTTGGAATGAGTGAAATCAGTTTTTTAAAACGATGAAACATAATATTACAATTGAGTGAGCGTAATGTGTTTTCTAAAATGAGTGAAACTAGTTTTGAGATCTATAGTGTTTAATGAGTGAAATCAATTTTTTTAAACCAGTGAAATATAGTATAGTATTTCAATTGAGTGAGTGTAATGTGTTTTCTGAAATGAGTGAAATATTTCTTTTGAAAATGAGTGTAATGTGTTTTTTGAAATTGTGAAATCTATTTTTGGAACGAGTGACTTAACTGATTTTTTTTAAATGAGTGAAACTATTTTTTGGTGTGGGGAAATATGTTAAATGGGTTATTTCAAATACATTCAAATGATTATTTAAAATATATGAAATTGGTATTTATGAAATACATGAAACATATTTCAATGTGTTTGTCAAGTTGTTTATTCAATGTGCTAAACTGATGTTTGTGAAATACAACTAGAACTGAAATATGAAAGCTATAAAATTCAAATTGTTCAAAATATATCTAAGATCGGTCTTGTTTCAAAGGTCTTGTCGCTCTGAATTCAAATATTTTTTTTTCCAAAAACAGAGTTCAGATTCGAAGCATATTTATCATTCAAATTTTTCCAAAAAATTTAATGGACGTCTTGCGGTGGGAGAGAGAGGAGGATAATATATGTACCATGCATGCAAAGGTCCTATCCCCTGACAAAAGCTGCTGCATGCAAAGGGACCCACACTTGTATTACCAATGTGTAGAGTTGGGGCTGCAATTACTAGTTTATATAGACAAAGGCCGCACGGATCTTGACGAAATGGACAAAGGGTGGATCCAACACCGGTACATCCTGCCTCCGGTAAAATAACTTAGTCGTAGTCTCAGCCACTCCCCATCACGATATGCTTGTGGAAGATGAACTGAACCTAGACCTCGCACCATTTATTAGTAGACAGCCTGAGGACGCGACGAGGATTCAGGATAATGAGTGTTGTTTTTATGCGAGGAGACTATTTATTTTACCAAGTTTCTATTATCAGAATATTAATATTTACAATTCCAAGTTTATATCATTTGATCTAGTATTTTCATATTTTAACTATTAGGTATTGGAGATGTTGTTATATTCTTCTATAATCTTGGTCAACCATACAATCGTTTAACTTTTCACGAAAGCTGATGCACCTTATATTCTGGAACAGAGGAAGTATATTGCTTCATTGGCTTTAGACCATCCAGAAATCAGGGAAAATCATGGAAGCAATCGTGTACTAAACTAAAGCTCCGAGACCTGTCCAAGTACAACAACACCCATCGCGGGATGCAAAAGCAAAGCGAGTTGGAGAAGGTTACGGCACACCTAATGACTTGAGAAAAGGAAACATGTTACGGTACGAGCAACAATCCTCCACGCATATATCCATTGACTCACGGAGCAGAGAAACTTGATCGATACCAGGAACGTCTGCGTTGCTGCGTTCTCGTCTGCCATGGCTCAGAACGGGGCCGCTGCCGTTGGCCACGGCGAAGGCCTCCAACTACGGGAGACTTGGTCGAGGTGCGTCACGGAGGGCGCGACGCATGATTTCAAGGTGACCAACTACCCTCTGCTTGAGGGCATGGGCACGTACATCACCTCCCGCACGTTCAGGGTCGGCGGCTACGATTGGAATATCAGGTTCTACCCGGACGGACACACCAAGGACTCTGAAAAAGCGTTAGTATTCTTGTTTTGTCTCAGCTCATTGACGAAGGATGTGAGGGCAAAGCTCACCATAACCTTGCTGGATAAGGGAGGGAAAGTGGGATTGCTGACCACCCCGGACGCGGTGGAGAGAATCTTTTCTCCGGAAAAGGTTTACTTTGGTGTTTTCGTCGAGAAATCGAAGCTGAAATCGTGCCCTCGCCTCCTGACAATAAGGTGCGTTCTCATCGTGATCAAAGAACCACCCCCGGAGGAGTGCCCAAGGAATCTCGTCGTGGTTCCTCCGCCGGAGCTGTCCGGCCGCCTCGAGCGCACCCGTAAAGACGGGAAGGGCACCGACGTCACGTTCCTCGTGGGTGGCAGGGAGTTCAGCGGGCATACGTTCATGCTGGCTGCGCAATCGCCGATTTTCGATGCTCAGTTCTTTGGCCCGATGGCGGATAAGGACACGCGGTGCATAGAGGTTCCCGACATGGAGCCTGCCATCTTCGAGATGCTTCTTCACTTCATCTACACGGATTCGCTGCCCCCATGTAACGAGGAAGGTTACGATGCTGCTACCATGCAGCACTTGCTAGTCGCAGCACACCGGTATAGGCTGGACAGGCTTAAGGTGATGTGTGAGGAGAAGCTATCCAAAAGCATCAACGTGCAGACCGTTACAAGTACATTGGCAGTTGCAGATCAGCACTTCTGCGAGGGGCTCAAAGATGCTTGTGTGGAGTTTCTTTCTGAGCCGAGAATAGCGGCAATTGTCTGGTTAAGAAACGGGTTCACACGCTGCATGGCAAAGCTGGAATCGGGGGACAAGGAGGTATCTGCCGCGGGGACGAAGTAATCTAGAACCCCCCCAAAAAATCATGGAATAGATTTTTATTCTTTCATCAAAATAAATCTTTAATTTCTATTGTGGTTCGATCAATTTCTGGTCAAATGTTAATCCATTTATTTATGTACTAGTTTATTTGTAAAAATAATTCCTATTTCTTTTGCGACAACTATTATTGCTATATATGGACCGATTCGATCCAAATATCATCTAGCCCTAGTGTAGCACGTTCTAATTTTGGCAAGTTTTTCTTCTTCTTTTTTTGTAATTTAGTCATCACTACTAACGGAGCAAGGTGATGTCAATGCCCGGAAGACGGGAATCAATTGTTTCTTATGAATTAGTTTGGGCATGTTTGGTTACCTGCATCTATTTTTGTCACTTTGCATCGGTAGCGCTATTCAGCCTGACTGAGTGAATATAGCTCAAAACCTATGTTTTGCACATAATTCATTTGCCTGCATCCGCTCCAGTTAGCTGAGCGGCAACATAGACAACAGTGTTTTGTTTCCTCCATGTTCTTTTGAGATGAAAGTGTTATTGTTTGGTTACATATAACACAGATGTTATGGTAACCTCTTCTAGAAGTGATGAGGTTACCAGCATACAAACAGAGAGACACAACAGCATAATATATAGTCACAGCATCAACCGTTTGCACACGATAACCATAACCATACGTTGTCATAGCAGTACTAACTGGTTGGTTCATAACAGTATACCACAAAGTCTACAAACAGGTTTTAGATAAGATCGTATGAGATAACACCCTAAGCACCCTCCTCGGCATCCATGTCAAATGATTTGTAGTGCGGCCCGCACTTTGCCACCACCTCAACACACTCGACGTTGAAGATGATCACCTGCAAGTTCACGGGACTCACCAAAGGGTTAGTTTACCCTATTAAACCCTAAACCTAACTCACCAACTTGAAGGTCAAAAGACACCCGATCCTGACCGCTTGAGTTACACAGAAGCCGACCCAACCCTGATCAAGGTGAGCCTGCCGCCGATCATCTGGACAGTGACATTCTAGGTGCGGTCGTTCTTCGTCCTCAACCTGAACAACTCTGGGACGGGGACAATGTGTTTGCTGAAGGCAAGGGACATCTGCGGATACTCCAATTTAGGCCCGAAGACGGTTTTGCATAAATGTGTTTGGTTGAGATTATGGTAATGGCTGTATTTCTTAACCCTCTTCAGGGGCCGCCGTTCTGCAGCACCAGCTTGCCCTTCTTGCCCAAGGCCATCTCCTTCCCCATCATATCAGAGGCAACCTCCTTGCCCTTCATGCTCGAGATGACCTACTTGCCATCCTTGTCGTTGCCTCCCACGACGAGCTTCTCAATCTACATTGAACATACAGATGTGAACTGGTGCTCCAATCAAAACGTATAACACATATGAACAAGATCGTTTTGGACAACTACGATGACGACAAGGAGCACCAGGCACTGGAGATGGTGGCGAGGGTTCCTCAGTCTGGCTGCTCTACAATGCCCCTTGAGGTGCATGACGGCAAATGTGAAAGTTCGATTTACCATCAACCTACACGTGGTCTGCGTGCCTGCAAGCCATGCTCCTCAAACCCTGCCGCGGCTATGCTATATCCGAAGTGCTGCTGAATCGATTGAAGGGTTTGTTCTAACCGTTGAAACTTGTTCCCTCTTTGTGTGAAAAAACTAGAATCCATAATCGGAATCGATTCAATCGGTCCCAAATCAAAGCCTAACCTTCAATCGAATGCTCTATTGACAATAAATCAAAATGCGACTGCAAGAAAATCAATGCTACAGAGGAGATAGAGGACATATCGCCATTGACATGGAGGAGGGCGAAGCCGATGCTTGCAGCTGGTGCTCACCATCCGGAGCTTGCCTCTAATGTATGCCACTGATGCTCGATATGCAGATGTTGTGCACACAGCCGTTGAGAGTGGACAGATGGGAGAGTGGGCGGTGCGAGGAGGGGAGAGTGAAGTGGTGGAAGAAGGGGGGAGTGAACGGTGGGAGGAGGGTGAGGGGAGTTACGGCTGCTTCGGGAACCAACGCGTCTTGTACCGCGTGTCCCCGCGCATGCAGTCGCAATCACCCACATAAGCCCCCTCACATCGCTCGGACCTGGCTCTGGAGAAACGGTTCATTTGAGCATTCCTCTAGAGCCAGGCGTAGAGGTGCTTTTATCACTGTGTCATGGAGGTCCAAAAGTGTTTGCACATAACCGAACTAGCCGAAAATTAAAAAGGCTACATCCAATGGACCTGGTTGGAGTTGATGCAAATAACCAAACATGCTCTTTGTGGATCTAATACACGAAGTGTGAAGCAGCTTTACTATATTATACATGAAGTAAACACATACACCGGGTATTCTTTTGATTAGGGCATGTCCAACACTGACCCTCGAACAACCCGCATCGGTTAGGACTGAGCGGTCTAGACGCATTTTTCCATCCAACGAGGTACCCATCAGTCTAGACGTCCGTTTTTCCGCAAACCGGAGGCAAACCAGGGTCCCACCCAAAATCACTAGGCATGCAACTGTATGTGTCGCCCCCGACTGGAACTGCATGTGTTCAACACGACTGCAACTGATTTGTCAAAGGGAGGGCAATAGCATGTCTGCCACTAGGCATGCAACTGCAAATGTCGCCTCCTATTGCAACTGCATGTCTTCAACGCAGATGCGACTCGGTGGTATTTTTCCCGAGGGGCAGTTGCATTTTTGCTACTAGGCACGCAATTGCAAGTGTCATCTCCGACAGTAACTGCATGTTGTCAACGCGGCTGCAAACTTAGTGGTGTTTTCCGGAAGAGTGATAGTGAAGGGATGGATGCATGTCTACCACTAGACACATAATAAGAAGTGTCGCCTCTACTGCAAGTGCATTCTTCGACGCGACTACCACTTAGTGGTGTTTTGTCGAGGGTGGGCTAGCGGTTGTATGTCCACCCCTCGAGTTGTAATTGCAAATGGTGCAATACGTCAACAACTAGAGAGACTGCATGTGCACCCCCGAGCTACAACGACATAGGTTGTAGGTTGTGTTGTGTGCCTCCGGCAGCTCCCGAGGGTGCTGACAACAATTTTAGTTGCATGTTTGCTTTTTTTTTTTTAGAATTCTTTGCATTCAAATCACGAAATAATACAAAATAGTTGACCCTTACAAGCACACTGAAACATAAACACAAAGGACCATAAACATCTAGAGTACGCTAAGACAACCATAACATAAGAAGATCTCCGGAGCTCTGTGTCATCATTCCTGAATCTTGAGAGAAGACCCCTGCAGCAGAACGATCTGCAACCAGGCGCAAGCAGGTCATCATCTTCAACCACGGAACAATTGCCACCACGCTGCTTCCTCCTTTTTTGACACCAGCACTGAGAGAGCATGGACATCAATCCAACACACCTGCAACAGCCGACGCCATCTTTGGCTTTGAGTACCGCAAAAAATGTCCCTTCCGGAAGGAAGAGAACTCGAGTCATCCGACCGGTCCAGCACCGCGGCTGGGCCATTCGCTCGGGCAAAGCAGAATCTCCCTCTAGCATCAGCGCAGAGAAAGGAGAAGAACAACAACAGCAAATCATATCGACAAGGAAGAAGAAGGGTCTCCGTCTCCCTGCATCCATCACCCATCTGAGGACCCAAACGGCCAGTGCCAATGGACCTTCAGTCACCATAGCCCAACACCAATGGACCTCCAGTGCAAAAGTTGCATGTTTGCTGGCCATGCGCAATTGCATGTCCGTGATTAGTGTGCAACATAACTTTTTTTCTTCAAACATACTGCCAGCATGTACGTCGGTCTGCACATGGTTGCATGTTCGTCGACCACGTGCAATTGCATGTCCGTTGTCCATGTGCAACTTAAGTGTTTTTCTTTTTTATAAAGAATATTGCCATCCGATTGGATACACATAGTCCGCATGCATTTGCATGTCGGTCGGTCATGCCCATGTGATTATTATTGTTTCCAAAAATATTTGCCAGTAGCTACAATTGCATTCCATTGGCCATGCGCAATTAAATTTTTGTGTTTTTAAAAAATTTAGAAAAGGAGGACTATCCCTGGCCTCCGCATCTGGACGATGCATGCAGTCATTTTATTAATTATTCAGAAAAACCTTACAAAGTAGTACATTAGATAGTCTGAAGTCATCATCTTAGCAACAACTGTCGCTACTCGTATCCACCTGATGAAGGGGTGCCGATAGTCCGAGCCTAATACCAATCAGACATCGCACAAATGCTTAACATCTAAATACAGAGGCCCCAACCAAGCCACATATTGGGTTTGGGGCACAAACTGGTCCGACACACTCTCTGTGTCGTCGCCGTCATCTTCCACCAATCCATCTTTAGAGGAGAAACTAATGAATCGACCTTGCCATGCCTCTCTGCCATCAACGCCACCATGTCGCCAGACAGCATCCTCCTCCTGCGCGAGTCTATCTCCTCGCATCGGACTTCGAATCTCCACAGCGCCACGCCGCCGAGATCCGCCGTACGTCATCAATGTGTAAGATGAAGTACCGCTCCACCAAAGAAGCCGTCCTCTGTTCCCCGAGTCCATGAATGACGCCCCCAAGGGGGAAACGACACCAGAGCGCCGCTGTCATCCGATCAATTGATCTAGGGTTTCCCCCGAAGGTAGCAGCGGGACCCTTCAGAAAGAAAGATGCGAAGGTGACATAGCTGTCAGGGGCAACACTAGCAGACTCCATTTCATATGTGATGTCGCGGAGCCAGTCATCAGCATCAAGGGGTTGAGTTGAGCTGCGGTAGATAGTTGGGTTGAGGCGCATGAAGTCCTGCAGAGTTACTCGGGTTGGATGTTGATTCATGTTCGGATGAGGAAACTGAGCCATCATTCCTTCCATGAACTGGCGATTCAACTCAAACTGTTGCATCATTCCAGCAAAGAATTCAGGCGGTGGTGGATCGTTGGCACCATGACCACGACCAGCCGGTCTAACCATCCTGCTAACATGTAACAGGGGGT